GGCGCCCTGGTGGGCATGCGAGACCCGCGGCTGGAGGGTGCACTGCGCCTGCTCCTCGCCCAGCAGCTGCGGGCACGGGGGAGCCCCAGCGGTGCCAGGCGGAGGGGCCTGGCCCCATGCCGGGGGAGACGCCACCCTCCCCACCAGCAGGCTCTGACTCCGAGGGTCCTGAGGGTGAGATGGCCGGGGCAGCCCTGCCCAGAGGACAGCACCCGCAGACCACAGGCCCGGGCAGCCCTGGGGACAAGGAGGTCACAGCCACACAGGACCATGTCCCAGACACGCCCCTGGACCTCTCAGAGAGGGGCCGGGGCCGGGACGGCGCCCTTCAGCCTGCCAGCCAGCCAGGCTCACTCAGCCCCACAACTGCCCACACTCCCAGCCCGGAGCCACCCCAGGGAGCAGAGCCACCTGCCCAGCCTGGAGCCCAGGGACTCAGCAACGGCACCAAGGGGCCCAGAAAGCCAGAGGAGGAGGTGCCCCCGACTTCCGAGGTGAGGGACCAAGCCCATTCCGGGCCTCCACATGCGCCACCCCAGAGCATCCAGACTCCCTCCAGCCTCCATCCAGGCCACTCCCTTTCCTCTGCACAGCAAACCAGTTCCCAATGAGTGAGCCTGGCTGCCTGCGTCACATGAGACAGGAGGTGGCTGATCCTCTAGCTTCGGCCCCAGCCAGGATCCTGCGGGCTATGCCCAAGGCTGGGTTGGAGGGGAGGGCAATTGTCTCAAGGGAATTCAAGCCACTTAAAAAACGTCCTTCTCCCCAGGACCCCCCACATCCTCTCCCAGAGCAGCCCCCAGGCCTGCCCTCTCCAAATGGAACGGGAAATGAGGCCAGAGGGAGGCCAAAACTGCCCTCCTGCCCTCAGAAGTCTGATGGAGACAGCCACCCAGGTAAGGAGGGGTACCAGGGTCTTGAGAACTCAGGTAGTGGTACCACAGAGGGGAGCGGGTGCCATGGTCAGTGTCAGCTCAGCCTCCCGGGCCTGACCAACCAAACCCTGGGTCCAGGGCTCAGTGTCTCCCACATATAGAGAATTGAGGCCCAGGGTGGGCATGTCTCTGACCACAAGCACTGGAGAGGCAGCATCCTAGAAATTAGGGCTTCAGGGCAGGTAGTGAGTTCCCTGTCACCCAGCGACCAAGTCAGCTGGTGGGGTCTCCTTCCTGGTGCTGAAGACACTAGGCCTGGGTTTGAGCCTGGGCAGGCTACTCCATCCCTCCGGGCCTCAGTCTCCTCTTCGGCAGAGCCGTTGCCACCCGTCCCAGGCAGG